TAGTGGCAATAATAGAAGGGTGGCTTAAAATAGTAACATTGTATCTGAATATCAAGTACCCAATATTCTGAAAACAGGGAAGAAATTAAACAAAGGAGCATGACTAACAATACTGATAGGGAAGACATTGTGCTTGAATGAGTATGCGTCCTTGAAGGAACAAAGGGGTAGAATCCATTTGGTCAGAGAGTTAGAGCAGAAAGAGGATAATCATGCTACTGGATATTTATGAAGTGTGATTAAAAAGAACTGTGTATTCTCGGTCCAATTAGGAAGAAGTGCTACTGGAACTGGTGCTGGGAACGAGTTGAATCAAATGATGCAAATATCTGGGGGAGCACTTGGTTAAGGGTGATCATTGTGACTTAGAGTTTAGACATTTACTGGAGAAAATCAAAGAACAGTCTGTGGTAGAATTGCATTGGAAGGGAGCTAATTTTGGAATGTGAAGGGATCTATCCAGGGTAAAGTAAAACCAAACACTGACAGCAGAAACTGTAACAAAACCATTCTTTATGGAGGAGATGCTTCAGGTACAGCTCAGGACATTCCAACCATAGGTGAAAGGTAATGGAACCAAAGCCAGCAATAATTGTATGATGAGGGAGCTAAAGAACATAGTGAAACAAAAATAGAGGGTCTCTGATGCATGTCAGTCCATTAGGTTTAAACGATTTTCAATGTGCCAGATGTTTTTATTTGTTTCTCTGGATTTTTCATTTTCCATTAAAGCACTGTAATTTGTGGAGCCAAGTTCTGTTCAGGCATTTCCTGCAGGATGTTGAGAAGAAAATGGATTAAAGTTTTCATCTTTAGAGTTCGAGTGTCAAAAATGTAGCCTATGAGGCTGGGCAATAGATTATTTAGTTATTTCCTAATTGCTGTTTGTGATAATGGTCTGCAACTCTCTGCTTACAATTTGGTAATGGAAGTGGAGATGATGTAGATTTTGGGGTGCAAATTGGTTGCCACATTCCATGCATTATCACAATTACTGTACTTCAAAGAGTATTTTATTTATTGTGAATCATTTTTTGGATTTTATAATGTCATGGAGTTTCATAAATGCATTTTTTTCTTTAAATTGTATTATCAAGAAATGTTGGTCTTTGTCTCAAGATATGTTACTATCTGCAGCATAAGATAGAGGCAATTTAATTGAAAGATTCATTTAAACTTTATATATAGGCTGCTTAACTCCATGACGCACGCACTGGGTTACCTTTCTCATAGATTCATAATGTTGTTGAGTAATAGAATAGGTGCTCCAGCACACTTCCACTTTAATTTTCGCTTTGCTATCTGCAGGATATTGTTCTGACAACACCATTACCCTTGACATCCTGTATTGTGTATCAAAGAGCATTAAAAGAAACATTTTCATATTTCTCACAAAGTAACAGAGTCGTGTTGTCTTGTGGATATTTTTAATCAACATGTTATGACACACCTTTGGAGCAGGCAGGACTTGAACCCGTGCTGCCTGGCCCAGAAGTAGGTACACTACCACTGTACCACAAATGCCCCTGTTGTCTTCAGATAATTGTCATTACAAAACATTTGTGGAAGTTCAAATTGTTTTATTAAGCTTTCAATCAAATTTATTCTGCCTCAGCTGCTGAAGCTTTTTTCTGTCATCTGTCTCTTTTATTTGAAACTGTCTATCAGTTAGCTGCTGTGCAGGGTGCTTTTACTTCCTGTTCAAATTAAAAGCACCAAGTTGTACCTTGCATATTCATCATCTGAGTTGGCTATTAGTATGAGTTCCCACTGATTATACTGTTAAATTTGTACTCTATCGAGTAAGCTGGGTGTACGCTGATCTGGAGCAGAATTATCCTGGAAGAGGGCAGCAGAGTGGTGATGCTGATTGGCTGACATGGTGAAGATCTGTCACTGCTTCCAGAAGGTGGACTTCATCAAGACGCCTTCTGTCTGTGAAAGGGCAGAAAGCATTCTGAAGGGAGAGGGTGAACAACCAGAGGTTGTGGTACATATCGGTACTAACGACATAGGTAGGATGAGTGACAAGGTCCTGCAGCAGCAGTTCAGGGAGTTAGGTAGAACGTTAAAGAGCAGGACCTCCAAGGTTGTAATCTTCGGATTACTCCCTGTACCACGCGAGGCGAGAAATAGTAGGATAGTACAGCTTGACGTGTGGCTAAACAGATGGTGTAGGAGGAGGGTTTCACATATCTGGACCATTGGGATCTCTTCTGGGGCAGGTGGGACCTGTACAAGAAGGACAGGTTGCATCTAAACTGGAGGGGCACAAATATTCTGGCTGGGAGGTTTGCTGGTGTCATTCGGGAGGATTTAATCTCGCTCGGCAGGGATGTGGGAACCAAATCAAAGGTGAATTGACTGAAAGGTAACTAAAGAATATGGCCAGTAAGACTCAGAGGAGGTGCAGGCAGAGTGTGGTTACAAAACAAAGTGGGTCTGCTGGACTGAAGTGCATCTGTTTCAATGCGAAAAGTGTAACAAGTAAGGCAGATGAACTTAGAGCTTGGATTAGTACTTGGAACAATGACGTTGTTGCTATTACGGAGACTTGGTTAAGGGATGGACAGGATTAGCAGTTTAACGTTCCAGGATACTGATGTTTCAGGTGGGATGGAAAGGGGTATAAAAGGGATGGAGGAGTTGCACTACTTGTTAAGGAGTATATCACCGCTGACCTGCGGGAGGACACCTCAAATGGCTTGTACAGCGATGCAATATGGGTAGAGCTCAGGAACAGGAAGAGTGCAATCAAAATGTTTGGGGTTTACTATAGGCCTCCCAACAGTCAGCAGGAGATAGAAGAACAGATATGTAGGCAGATTTTGGCAAGATGTAAAAGTAACAGTGTTGTTGTCGTGAATGATTTTAACTTCCTATATATTGACTGGGACTGACTTAGTACTTGGGGCTCGGATGGGGCAGAGTTTGTAAGGAGCATCCAGGAGGGCTTCTTGAAACAGTATGGAGATAGCCCAACTAGGAATGGGGCCTAGGGAAATAAGCCTGGCCAGGTGGTTGACGTCTCAGTAGGGGAGCAGCTCGGGAACAGTAATCACAATTCAGTAAGCTTTAAGGTACTGATGGATAAAGATAGGTGTGGTTGTCAGGTGAAGGTGCTAAATTGGGAAAAGGCTAATTACAACGATATTAGGCAAGAACTGAAGAATGTAGATTGGAGGCAGATGTTTGAGGGCAAATCAACATCTGATATGTGGGAGGCTTTTAAGTGTAAGTTGCTGGGAACTCCGGACCGGCACATTCCTGTAGGGATGAAGGATAATTATGGCAAGTTTAGGGAACCTTGGATAAGGAGAGATAGTGTGAGCCTAATCAAAAAGAAAAAGGAAATATTTATCGAGACTAGAAGGCTGGGAACACATGAAGCAAGGGTGGAAAACAAGGAAAATCGGAAGAAACTTAAGCAAGGAGTCAGGAGTGCTAAAAGGGTTCATGAAAAGTCATTGGCCAATAGGATTAAGGAAAATCCCAAGGCTTTTTATACATATATAAAGAGCAAGAGGGTAGCCAGGGTGAGGGTTGGCCCACTCAAGGACAGGGAAGGGAATTTGTGTGAAGCCAGACGAAATGGGCGAGGTATTAAATGAGTACTTTGCGTCAGTATTCACCATAGAGAAGGACTTGTTGGATGATGAGTCTGGGGAAGGGTATGTAGATAGTTTGGGTCATGTTGAGATCAAAAGGGAGGAGGTATTGGAGGTCTTGACAAGCATTAAGGTAGACAAGTCCCCAGGCCGTGATGGGATATACCCCAGAATACTGAGAGAAGCAAGGGAGGAAATTGCTGGGGCCTTGAGGGAAATCTTTGTATCCTCACTGGGTACAGGGGAGGTCCCAGAGGATTGGAGAATAGCCATGGTTGTTCCTTTGTTTAAGAAGGGTGGTAAGGATAATCCAGCTAATTACAGGCCACTGAGCCTTACGTCAGTGGTAGGGAAATTATTGGAGCGGATTCTTCGAGACAGGATTTACTCCCACTTGGAAATCAGTGGGCGTATTAGTAAGAGGCACATGGTTTGTGAAGGGGAGATTGTGTTTCACTAACTTGGTTGATTTTTTGAGGAAGTGACGAAGTTGATTGAAGGTAAGGCAGTGGACATTGTCTACATGAACTTCAGTAAGGCCTTTGACAAGGTCCCTCACGACAGGCTGATACAGAAGGTAAAGTCGCACGGGGTCATAGGTGAGCTTGCAAGATGAATAAAAAAGACTGGCTCGGTCATAGAAGACAGAGGGTAGCAATGGAAGTGTGCGTTTCTGAATGGAGTGCTGTGACTAGTGGCGTTCCTCAGGGATCAGTGTTGGGACCTTTGCTGTTTGTAATATATATAAATGATTTGGAGGAAAATGTAACTGGTCTGATTAGTAAATTTGCCGATGACACAAAGGTTGGTGGAATTGCGGATAGCAACGAGGACCGTCACAGGATACAGCTGGGTATAGATCGGGGGTTGGTGACTTGGGCAGTTACGTGGCAGATGGAGTTTAAACCGGAAAAATGAGAGGTAATGCATTTCGCAAGGTCTAATCCAGATGGAAAATATACAGTAAATGGTAGAACCCTTAAGAGTACCGATAGGTAGAGGGATCTGGGTGTACAGGTACACAGGTCACTGAAAGTGACAACGCAGGTGGAGAAGGTAGTCAATTTGGCATACGGTGTGCTTGCCTTCATCGGCCGAGGCATTAACTTTAAAAATTGACAGGTAATGTTGCAGCTTTATAGAACCTTAATTAGGCCGCATTTGGAATGGTATGTTCAATTCTGGTCGCTACACTACCAGAAGGATGTGGTGGCTTTGGAGAGGGTACAAAAAAAATTTACCAGGATGTTGCCTGATATGGAGGGCATTAGCTATGAGGAGAGGTTGGAGAAACTTGGGTTGTTCTCACTGGAACGACGGAGGTTGAGGGGCAACCTGGGAGAGGTCTACAAGATTATGAAGGGCATGGACAGAGTGGACAATCAGAAGCTTTTTCCCAGGGTGGAAGAGTCAGTTACCAGGGGTCTTAGGTTTAAGGCGTGAAGGGCAAGGTTTAAAAGGTGATGTACGAGGCAAGTTTTTTTTTACTCAGAGGGTGGTGGGTGCCTGGAACTCGCTGCCGGGGGTAGTAGTGGAAGCAGGTACTAGAGTGACGTTTAAAGGGCCTCTTGACAAATACATGAATAGCATGGGAATAGATGGATATGGTCCCCGGAAGGGTAGGGAATTTTAGTTGTGATGGGCAGCATGTCGGGCAGGCTTGGAGGGCCGAATGGCCTGTTCCTGTCCTGTAATTTTCTTTGTTCTTTGTTCTTTGTTCTATCAAACCACAGTTTAACACTGTAATGCTGAGGAACTACTTAGAACTACCAGGATACCAGGAAATCAAACTGAAAATCCCTTTAAATTTGGCTAGAACCAATAGCTGATTCATGTGGTATTAAGATTTTGGAAAGCTTTAACAAGGAATAAAGATATAATTCAATAAATTAGGCAAAGAAGGGACTTGCCTTTGATTCATGGGGCTGGGGCCTGTTCACACATTTTGGCCATCCTGAATGCTTCACAGCTAATCAGCTATTTCTGAGTTGTAGTCACTGTTGCTATGCACAAGGTCAGGATTTATCTTCCTGTGTTATTTCTTGGAAGGTCTCGAACATCCATTAGCATTTTTATGAATTCCATAATTGCAGTTCCAACTATTTGATAAAATCACCAATCCACTGAGCCCTAGTAGTATGGGCTGACTTCATTGGGTATTAGCTTGAATCCCAAATAAACATATCTCTTTCAATATAGAGATTGCAAGAACTGCAGATGCTGGAGTCATCCAATGAGTCAGCACCCTGGAGTCCCAGATGTCCTCCTATTTCAAGGACCACGAATCCCCCCTCAACCACATCTCTTGCACTTCCCACATTTCTGCCCTCAAACCCCTTCCCTCAACAAAAATAGAGACAGAATTCCCCTGGTCTTCACATACCACCCCACCAACCTTCGCATCCAGTATATCGTTACGCCACCTGCAGTCCGACCCCACAACCAAAGAGACATTTCCTTCCCCACCCCTACCTGCCTTTCATAGGGACCACTCACTCCATGACTCCCTTGTCAACCCCACACTCCCGACTTGCCCCACCACTCCCGGCATCTTTCCCTGCAACCGCAGGAAGTGCTACACCTGCCCAAACACCTGCCTCATCATCTCCATCCAAGGCCCAAAGCAAACCTTTCATATCCAACAGGGGTTCACCTGTACATCCTCCAACTTGGTCTACTGTATCCACTGCTCCCGATGTGGCCTCTTCTACATCGATGAGACCAAGCATAGACTTGGGGACCGTTTCATTGAGCATCTGCGCTCTGTACACGACAAACCACAACACCTTCCAGTTGCCGAGAGATAGTAGGAACTGCAGATGCTGGAGAATCTGAGATAACACACTGTAGAGCTGGATGAATATAGCAGGCCAAGCAGCATCAGAGGAGCAGGAAGGCTGACGTTTCAGGCCTAGACCCTCCTTCTAGACCCTTTTTCTGAAGAAGGGTCTAGGCCCGAAATGTCAGCCTTCCTGCTCCTCTGATGCTGCTTGACCTGCTGTGTTCATCCAGCTCTACGCCGTGTTATCTCACCTTCCAGTTGCCAATCATTTTAACTCCCCATCCCACTCCCTGGGTGACATGTCCATCCTGGGCTGCCTGCAGTGCCACAATGACAACACATGCAACCTGGAGGAGCAACACCTCATATTCTGCTTTGGGAGCCTACAGCCCGATGGCCTGAACAAAGAATTCACTAGTTTTAAAATCTCCCCACCCCTGGCCTCATCCCTTGTCCATCTCCGCCTCCTTGACTTGATTGGTGAATGCAAGTAGGGAGTGGTGGGGATTGGTCAGTGGGATGGGTGGGGCGGATAGGTGGGAGAGAGGATGAACAGGTTGCGCCAGATCAAGGAGGCGGGAGGGAGGATGGGTGGAGCTGGGGAAAGGTAGGTGGGGTATTGATAGGTTGGATGCAGGTAGGGGGTAGTGGGGATTAGTCGGCAGAAAGGGTAGGACGGATAGGTGGAGAAGATGGTCAGGTTGTGTCATCATCCCACCTACCTTCCCCAGCCCGAGTCCTCCTCTCTGTATTTATTTCCCAGCTCCCTTCCCCCTCCCTATTTCTGAAGAAGGGTCCTGACCTGAAACGTCAAGCTGCCATGCCTGCTGTGTTCCTCCCACTCCACACTGTGTTGTCTCTAGATCTTTCAAAATGGTCGTTCTGAAGCCAACACATCACTGTTCACCTGCTATATGAATCTGCTGGGAGACTGAGCCATAGAATAGAAAGATATGGAAATGTAAATATTTTGAAGTTTATATTAACTTGATAACACGTCTCAGTGTGATAGAGTCAGAAGTCACACAACACCAATTGTAGTTCAACAGGTTTATTCGAAATCGTAAGCTTTTGAAGTGCTGCTCCTTCATCAGATGAAGTGAAGAAAAGCACACAGGCACAGAATTTATAGGCAGAGAGATCAAAAAATCGTGTGAATGGACCGTCAACAAGCCAACAGGCCTCTTTGATATTGGTTTTCCTGTTTTTTTTTAATTTTGTTACATTAATGCTGGTAAAGTATGAGGACAGTTTTATTTTGTGAATTGACGTATTCTGCCTATTAATAGGGACTGCCCATATGTATTTAAACAGAGCAGAGAGGTTAAATTAATTATTTTTTTGTTAAGTCACCGAATCTTGCCCATTATCAGTTATTTTGAAACACTGCGCTCATCAAACACTTCCTGCCAGGGCTGTACCTGCACGATATGACAAAATCATGGGGTGAAGCCACGAAACCAGGGGAAGACATTCATCCTATTGAGCCTGTATTGACTCTCTGCAGGAGAAGTTTCAGTGGTCACACTCCCTAACCCTTTCCCTGACCTTGCAATTATTTTCCCTTCAGGTGTTTGTCCATTTTTCTTTGCAAAGTAATGATTGATTTAGTCTCCACTGTTCTTTCAGACAATGTATTCCAAATTGTAACCACTCACTGTTTACTTAAAAAGATGTTATTCCTTGTGTCACCTTTTTATTCCTTTTTCTGATGAAGCGTCTAGGCCCGAAACGTCAGCCTTCCTGCTCCTATGATGCTGCTTGGCCTGCTGTGTTCATCCAGCTCTATACCTTGTTATCTCTACTTTAAACTTGAGACCTGGTTCTCACCCTTCCATCGATAGCACCAATTTCTCTCTATTTACTGTGATGTAGACTGCTGTTCATTTCTTTCTAGCATTCTGACTAAACAAACCACAATGAATTTTAATAGTTGTGATCATAGTGTTACACAGTAAACATTATTTTAAGTTGATTCAGCTCCATTTATTTTGTTGAGTCATTTTACAACAAGATTACAGCAGTTTTCTTGATGAAAATGCGGACTTTGTCAAAAGATTAGCTTGTTTGTTTATTTCTATCTATCTAATGATTGAAATTGGGTCTGAATTATTGCTCAAAAGGCAATATTACAGGGCGTTGCACTTTGATAACGTATACTTGATCACCCAGTGTAAGGGGTTCAGTGTGATAAACTGCACTGTATTAGATTGATTGCCTATTTATAGGATGATGGGAAAAACGTGAGGGTGACATATTTGCTATGGAAAGAGTGCAGCAGTGGTTCACCAGACTAATTCCTGGGATGGTGGGTGTGTCCTATGAAGAGAGCTTGAAGAAACTGGATCTGTATTCTCCACGGTTTCCAAGAATTAGAGGCAATCCCACTGAGACATAAAAATTTCTTAAAGAGACTCAACACAGTGCACGTAGAAAGGATGATTTCTCTGGCTGGGGTCTCTAGAACTTGGAGGGACATTCTGTAAATAAGGGATAAGATATTTAACGAAATGAGAAATTTCTTCACTCGGATGGTGATGAATCCTTGGAATTCTGTGCCCAAAACGGTGATTGATAGGTTTCTAGGTACTAGTGACACAAAGGGATATTTGTGTAGTGTGGGAAAACCGCTTTGAGATAGATAATCAGCCATAGTTTAAAATAGTGGAGCAAACTCAAGTACTTAAGAACAAA